ATAGTTCTGATTCTCATGGAAGACATACAACCGCTGTACGTAGCTACATTTTACTGGTAAATCAAGTGCTGTGCATACGACGTTAATCTCCCCTGCAGCTTCATAGCAGAAAAAATACATCGTTCTCTGTTGGTACGAAAATGCTAGTGATTTCCATGATTTGACGATGAAGTTGAATGATTTCCATAGCACTACATCGAAGACCCGACGATAAAAACCAGGACAGAGAAGCAAACTGTCAGAGCGGCTAGGCGAGGAAGCCAACGATTCTGCCCATGTGATGTCAATGTATTTATTTTCTAATTCCACCTATCAAAAAGTTGCTTCTTTCTCGCAAAACTACTCTTTTCAATGCGCAGAAATGGAGCCGGTACAACGAATGAGACCCTCGTGAAGACTTCTCTTCATTGCTTTCATAAGATTGGGAAAAATTTCCTCACCGACTAGTTGACAAGGATTACAACCAGCTTGCCAATTTGCCTTCTGATAGTGATAGGAAAGGTAGAGAGCCTTCAAGCATCTCTTGCGCGGTCGAGCTGGTAGCGCAGCTCAGAGCCATGTAAGTAAAGTCAATCAAAAGAGCAGCAGCACCGGCTGAGGCAACAAGTGGGATGTCGAAACGAAACTGCCAATTAAATAGCAAGAATGCATACTTTTACTGCATTCAATAGAATAATCATCCCACTTTTACGATCACATTCTCAAAAATCGTCAGCTTTCCACCCAATGATCACTCATGAACGTCTTTTTAAACCTTGAACATCCTATCAATCGTACAGAACGGTTGCACTTAGTAAGTACTTTCTTCAGCAGAGTTCGAAATCATTTCACTGACTTTTAGATGTGGAAAGCTTCTCGACCGGGATGGTTATCAGCTCGAGTTTGGTCCACGGACTATATGTAGGTGTGACCGCCAGAACACTTAGCACTACGCCACCTGTGCACAAAGGGCACAATTACCTCCAAAATCAGAGGGGTGAAAGAAGCTTTTCAGATGCGGAGATCAATCCGAATTACCTTAAGATGTTGGCACATGCCTTGCTAAGGAAGTGTGAAAAATCGTAATAACTCACGTGCACTCCGATTTGCTCCACTCAAAGCTGAAGTTCCCATTTTGCATGCAAGTAGAATGAACTTTACGATTGTACGAGCCTCCACCAAAGGAATCGGAGGGGCATTCATGGCGTACATTTGCGTCAAAATTGATCCAGGACTTGACTGCTTGTGAGTACCATTCTCTTTAGGTACAGGCAATGACGGCGATGGCGGTTGAAGTGGATCTGAAAGGAAGTCAGAAACTAGAAAATTCATCGCTGGTAGGCTTCATTGGTCTTTCGGTAACCAAATGATGATTTTCCAAACATCGACAGCCGTTTTCTACAACACCCCACCTGCTGGTCCAATTTCCATTTCAGGCGCAGTATCTATAGAGCATCGACGTACTTCTTCCCGGATAACATCGTCAGAGCCTTTGTCTTCATCAGCATTATCCGATCTGAACCTATGACTAAATAAAAGCGAGAAAAAACTTAAAATTTGCTCAAGAACCTCATCAATTGTTGCCGAAATCAATGTAGGTGGAGCTCAATTAGGTAACTGACCCATCGCGATCGCACGATTTATAGTCGTAGTTGATTTCGGCACCATGCTGCTTGAACAGTAAAGGCATGTGATAGACAGCAAGTACTTTCATTTTCACTACCAAGCTTTCCAAGATCATCAAGATGAGATCACGATTCTGAATATTACGCTCACCATCTATATAAGGTGAAAACTGTGGAATAACCGCCAATTTGCAAATCGGACTTACAGCCTCTCCCTCCTTAGCGTGCTTCGTCAATCCCTCCAGAACACTGCTCAACATTCTTGCACAAATCACTTGGATCTAAAACACAAGAGGATATCTACATATGGAGGACACTTTAGAAACTTTGATGCGACCTGATAAGGCAAAAGGTTGTCGTGCATCTCGCGGCAGAATATAAAGGCCACACTGTAAGAAGAACGTTAAAGAGCGAATGAAAAGATTCAGATTAGAAACAGTAAAAGACGAACTGTGCCAGCATCTCAAAAGATAGTGAGGAGCGAACATGATGAAGGAAGTCAGCCATAGTTTGATAGAAATAACCTCTGAAAACTCATGAATGATTCCGCAAGAAACGTTTCAGAAAAGGTGATATAAGATGTGAAAACCAATAGTAAAAAATGTAAAAATAGTTAAAAGCTGAAAGAAATATGCGTTTCAGTGCTCACGTGCTGGAGTTTTGATATTGCTTTGATCATTCTACAAACAATGTGCAGATAACTACCTCTCACTTACACCCCTCCTCTCATGCGAAGATAGAATACATGTCACGGTAAATAACAGTAATGAGGCTCCACCAGTATAACCGTTTCGGCCCTACTCTTTTCACCCACTTTGAGAGATTCTAAATTCTCACCTTAACTACGGGCACCTACTTTGTTCCCGAACCAAAATAAATAGAAAAGAGGAATCGTGGCCCGATCAACCCCTAGACCAAAAAAGGGACTATTTATCAGGAACACTGAGTAGCGTGATACTATCGCGACCCATTTACACCTAGGAAGCTGAGAGCTGATACGGCCTCGACTGTGGATGGAATCAGAAGTGATTGCTCACTGCGCAAGGAATTAACTCCCAATCTTTCTCACTACCGTAGCACTGAAAGTATAAACAATTTTTGAGCAACAAAAATGGTACTTAAAAACTATCAAGAAATCATTCAGTTGTACCTCAAGTGATCAACAGCGGTATATCCAGAACCTATGAGAGCCAGTTCCGATAATAGCCTAGGTAGTAATTGAATGAATTTGGGACGTAAATCCGAGATGAAAAAGAACTTCAGCGTAATCAGTACGTCCCTGAAAAAGGTAGGATTGTACTTATCTGCCGAATTACGAATTCAGAAAGAATTTCAAAGCCCTCACTTCCGAACGACAATCAGCTCTGCAGGGCACTGTTCGAGCAAAGCTAGAACACCGTTGACGAATCTGTCGCCGTTTGCTAATATTTGATCCATAAACTTAACAAAAATGGATTAACTACATATCCAAGTACCCGTCAAGTGTTGGCAAGCATACTTCTCGAATTTTGCCCATGATGCTCAGGTACGCAAGCATCTTTGACTGAGCCGTGTAAAACTCGTCAGCCAACGCTTTGTTGTACTTCTCGTCAGCTTTTTGTTCATTTGAAATTTGTATGCTTAGAAAATCAAGACAGCAAAGCAAGAACTCCATCGCCTAAATAGACTTCTGCAGCTGTAATGAAACTAATCCAAGCATTCTCTCGCAAAGGGATACCTCAGTTTGGACTCCAGATTTGTGATGTTGATACAAGAAAATCACCAGCATGGGAATGTCTTGGAAGGCTTTCAATGACTGGCTTGCTCGCGGTATCAAGTTATACTGAAAATTATATTCCTTAGTCATTTTACTTGATGATACCAATATTGCAAATACAACGAAAAGCAGTCACTGGAAGGATATTTAACTCGATACTCTGATCAAGGGAATAACAGGTAAGTAAAAGAGACTGCAGGGCCATCAGTTCGCGCAGAAGCCATCGACACCTATTAGCATGCCTGAGGAACTATGATTTTCACTACGTTGCACCCGCTTGTGAAATGAAACCGAAATTCTCCGTTAGAGGAATAGAGCAGCCGCCTGGGCGGTTGCGATTGCTGTCACTCACGAAAACTGTCAGCAGTTGGAGCCACCTACTCAGTATTTCGTAGAATTCGTAGAACTAGCAGACCATTCTTTTTCTTGGAAACGTTCTTTCAGGGCTGGGAATTACCTATAGATAAAGAGGGATACTCAGCCTTCATCATTTGCTAAAAATTATGTTGGGTAAAATCTTCACAATGCTACTTTAAAATGATTAAAAAAATGCCTATCGTCATCTCTGCCATTCAACAGAAATTTTCCCCAGCATTCCGAAGAAAAATCTTGTTCGAATGCCTATTAATATAGAAGATGATAGATGTCGATTCCAAGAGAGGTTCAGGCGAGCTTCATCCTATTGTGCTACCCTCACCACTACCGTAATTTCCAGCAAAAAGCTCAGCATGTTGTTCTATCCCTACTGGCGTTGAAACACTGTTCCAAGGGGCTCAAAACTTCGTACCTCGGAAGACTGCCGCGCCAACTTGAGATACAACAAATAAACAAAAACTGTATTAAGGTTTACCAGGGTGTCCAAGGTTCCATTGGGAGAGTACAGAAGTGCTGACTGCGTATAGTAACACTGCTGAAGGTACTGAAAACAGTGAAAATCAAGCCAAACTGTGATATTTCCAGTATTTTGGAGAAATCCATTGCATACCGTTTCAATCATCGCTTCTTCTGGCAGCTGAACAGATGGATGGGTCAAATCTATCGTGTCAAAAGTATGAGACCGTGACAAAGTGACACACATACACTTTACCCATTGCTTGAAATTTTGCAGCATTACAGACACCTAAACACACAGATTACAAGGACTGTCAACACATAATCCACAGATTTCTCACCAACCTCGGGAATAAGATGAGAGCGAGCAATTTTACTGTGATCAACGACAATTTTGATGGCCAGTATAGCATTCTCCTCGTTTTCCAGAACAATAATCCGCATCATTTGCTTCTGTATTTCCTTCGACAGGTTTTTTACTGGTTCGTGGGCGCTGGTTCTCAGGATCATCTCCAGCATTGCTTTCCGTAACATCTGAACACTACTTCAATTCTGATGTGAGATTGAGAGCAGCGCTAATTTTCTAATTTCTTTGCTTATACTCCAACCGGTACGCAACGGTACGTTTCGGAGGTACTCAACTTGAATGGAAGCACACCTTCTTCCTTCCCTTTTGTACATACCCTCTATTTTTCAACCATGTGGATTGACTTAGATTTGATGAGCATTGAACAGTTTTGATTTGAAAGGAAATTAATTCTCAATAACTGAGCTACTTTGCAAACCTATTCGTAACTCATTTACATGACCAGTCGCCTGAGCCCAAACGCTTTTTCCCTCTATTTCGGCGAAAGCAAATAAAAGTGAAGATTTCATACTGGTAGAAACCCTTCGTAACTCATTCCAAAGCATCTCAAAGCCTACTTCAGCTCATGACCCCAGGTCGCCGGCGTACTTTACGTTACAGATGGCCGGACTCCTGTTGATCTCTCCTTATTGAATCTGACAAACGATTCGGAGCAAGCACACATAATGCACGACATGAGCCCGAGTAACCAAACTTACCCTACCCTATCAACTTTAGCACTTCAAGCCAGACCAAAGCTCGATGAGTCAGTTTTTGTTCCTATTAAATTCTCCCTAACACGCGACTTGACATGCCCTGAGTGCACGCTACTTTTCCGTTGTAGGGCATGGGGAATATCCTCAAATCCTGCAAACGACCCCATTCCAGTAGTAGTAAGTAGCACCATACTGATGACCAAAAAGTCCCAAACATTTCTTAGTTCAACATAGAGCTCTAACAAGATGGGAAGGAAATTTCTTTGCATGAATTCAGAAAGTGCCAGTACTCAAAAATCACCTGAGTGTTATTCTCCACTATAAATTGTGGTACCGTTTCACTGAAAAGCTTCAGGAAGGCCCTCATGAGGCTATCGAGGAATTGATCAAATGTTGGTGTCACGCTGAATGCATCGAATTTGCTCCAAGCGTCCTGCAAAAACACATCTTGGGTATTGTCTAGTCAAAACATAGCAAAGACTTGATTACCTGAACAGCTTTCAGTTTGACATCATCCCTTTGATTGACATCATTCAAAGTCCTTATCAATGCGTCCTGATCACCAGGTAGTATAGGTTGAGGGGCCATCTGTTGCATGGGTACATTACCGCGCACCATTTGTGAAGTCATTGTAACCCGGCTCTTGTATTGTATGAAGTACTTGGAGAAATTTCTGTAAAATTACCTCATAAAAACTAAACCATGCCTTATACTATTCAACCATGGCTTTTTTCCAGAAGCTTGTTTGGTGAAAAAAAGGGGATTCCAATAGACGTGAAACTGGGAACAATCAGCTCACAGGGGTGCGGTTGATAAATTACAAACATCAGATAAAATCGACCTACCAGGTAGATCTTCTTTTAATCAGAATGGCGACGGCATTATACGGCCACCTCTTCCCTACAAACAAAACAACATATAATCGGTCTAAGAGAGCAAAAGCATGTTATAACAGCACGGAACGAGAGATGAGACAGCTGTAACGCATAGAAGACAGATTGGGTTACTCTACAAGATATGTTTTAGTTTCTGCTCGATCCATTAATAGTACGACATTCTATGATGTCGTAGCGACGTGTCGCCCTGTTGGGCCACAGAGCTGCACAGAGCTGACAGAATTGAAAGAAGTGTTCAATCGATGTTTATAGTTACCAAAGCAACATAACGCAGGCTAGCAGGCTTATCTGGATCTGAACGTCATTCATGACCTTTTCAACCTTTCCCAATAATCGAACTTTAAAGAATGACTGACCACTATTCACTCATTAATTTGTTGCAGAGCCTGGGAAGTAAATGCAATATTAGCAGAGCTTGAGGGATAATGCCGTCATGCATAAACATTACCCAGCATCTTAGCACCATTTTTTCAGCAGCTGGCATGAGCCCTCTCTTGCAGTGTCACTGAATTCTAGTCAGAATTGGTGTTTTAGCCAAATATTCGAGGAAAGGACATGGGATGAAAAAGCTTGGGCATCCCTTCTACATTTCAGAAACGGTAAATATTCAAACCCGAGTTGATCTATCTCTTCCAAACCGAATGATACATGATTTGGAATAACTATACCCAAATATAACTTCTTTAATCTCAAATCATTCGATCAATTATTACAATCTCAATAAATTATCCCAAAAATTAATAAATTCAATCGATCACAAAATGAAAAATGCGATCTTCCATTGGGAGAATGGAGACCCGCAGCTCAGAAGCCCAAATGATAATTGAGAAGTGCTGAACGATCAGCTCAAGCAGTCTTGGGTTTTTGTGACGAAACGAGCAACACCTTCCCTTCAAAAAAAAGGTAAAATATGTTTTTTGGAGANCAGTGTGTTCGTTCGGGATCCAAACAATGACTATAGGTTGCTCAGGCTAAAAGCTGAAAGAAAAGTATAGAAATGCTTTGTCAGGGATTACGCAAAAAAAAATCGCTTCCACCAAACAATCGTAAGCTATCATCTTACATGACTTACTCATGAGGCCGTAGAAAATTTTGCTTGAACCGAACAATCAAGTTTCTGTACGGTATCGCAAGCATGGCGAATCTCAGCTAGAGATCGGCCAACGAGAAGCGATCCATTCCTGCTCAAGCAGAATACAGGAGATTATTATGTACTGTAGGAAACCGAGGGAAAACCATGGAGTTACAAAACATTTAATGCTTTTAATGGCATTTTGTTGCAACAATTAGTCACACTCAACTGAACGGAATGTGAATTGCGTGTACTTGTGCGCCAAATGCCTGACTAAAATGAATTTTAACCCTCATATTCGTTTCTATTCACCTTTCACGTTACCAAGTTTCTATGCGACTTCCCTGAAGCCTTCGATGTATATCTATTTACCATCACCACCATACCTATAGGAAGTACCGCACTGTGAGAACGCTAGGCTCACTCGAGCGGCGTCTGGGCTGTTTAAACTGGCAACCAAGTTAAGAGGTTTCGCTCATGGCACAGCCCAGTCGTGTCCCTCATGTGGGCGGGCGAACCTTCGTTGAGCCCACATTTGCTCCGTTAATCGTGCCCTATACCCAAGCCATGACTCGAGCTGCACAGGTGTTTCTTAAGGTTATATCGAATTTCGCGATATATACACAGAAAGACGCGGCGTTATATACAGGAAAGTAAAATATTCTTTCTAGATTTTCTCCAGGTGCAGAATCGGTTCCAATTTCTCGATACCTGAAAATGATGGAGAAGAATGAACCTTTCAAAGTAGTAAGGTTTCTACGATACCAGGTTTCTTTTCCGCGTACTTCCTCTAAGAAAAACTGGTGTCTCCGGGAGAAGCTGGCTACTTTTATTCCAGGTATAGATACAACCTCTCATGAAATTATTTTCAAAAGATATCTTTTTGAAAACTACCCATAAAGAGACGGCCTGACGGCTGGAACAGCTGAAAGACAGGAGGCGAATTCGAGGGGAAGATCTTGGGAGTTGCATTCGCGATACCTTCTCGCCGACTCTATGCTAAGTTGTCGGTTGGAATGCTGAAGTGGATGTTCAATGTCGGTCAAGTTGGCTCACTACACCGCATAGAGGTTTCTTGGCATTTTTTTTCAGGAAAAACTCATTCTTCTGCTGAAAATGCTGAGATGGTGGGAAAGTTTGCAGACTTTCAACTTATTGGAACCCATATTCTCTTCTTTCCAAGATTGACTATTTTCCTTTCAACCTCTACCGTACTGCTGAGATCATAGTTTCATAGTTTGACAGAAATTAGTCTGAAGAACTGTTTGTCCAAACAACAGTTCCATAGACATGTGAGTATATTGTTAATTTAAGTGAAGGAAACTCATAATCAAGGCAGCTTGAACCGCCGCCTACCATATTGTCTTCGAGAACCTACTCAGCCTCGACCAGAAAAGCCTTCCCTAGCTTAGAAAGGAATTCACTTCAACTTGTCTTGAAAAACAAAGATAATAATCAATTAGATATTGAATGCGAGGTGGTCGTAAAAAACGATCAAGTAACAGCTCATGCCTTTTATTCAGCTTCCACAGTGTTTCAACTTGATTTCGCCAAACAGACACCCAAGAAAGCAAAAATTTTTGGAGAGAAATCCTCCATGGACAAAAAACTAGTTAAAGAATGAAATATCCCGAGATACAGATCTTTCCAGACAAACACGAAGATTTTTGAATTGCCAAATCTTCACTGAGCGGAAAGATTACTACACCTCACTAGCGGTGTACATATGTGCTAAAAAGTAAAATTCAACACAAGGATTGGAACTCGGTTTACCCTTCCTCAAGGAAGAAAATGCTTACAGTGTGGACACCAAGAGCTCTTTCCTTCATATGATAGGTTTGACTAAGATTCCGAATTAACCCTACTAAATTACAACAATAGAGATAGGAACTTGGACAAGTAGTCACAAAGGACCGCATTGTGAAATAAAACGCACCATTAGGAAGCGAGATAATGACGAAAACTTGACCAACCGGAAAATAAATAAATTAGACCAATTTGTAAATTATGTCACCCTCTGCGGATCTCCCTCACTGAGGTATCGTTCTCACTGAAGAATCTCCAGCCGGTTGGAGAGAGGTTACGTGACACCACCCCACGTATTTGTGGGGGGAGTGAATCGTGGACCAAAAGTCACCGGCAGTTTCAGAAACGCGGATGACTTCAGGCTCCCTGTTACTGTTCTCTGTACTAGGTCAATTTATACCTTCTCCCTCCTAGCGTGTGTATCCATGCATGCCTAGGTGGAGTCTGTGGGGGCCTTGGTATCCTGCACAACGGCTCAGCCGAGAACATGCATTTTGACTCTAAATAAGCTGGGATTCAAGGCTGTTTCTAATAGTCAGACCTCTCATCCACCCTAGGATACCCTGGCTAGCTATCCGGCTTATAAAGGACTGAGATGGCTATCCGTGCTTTCAATGCACAAACGCTTGCTTTGGACACGTGTATCGAAGTTCTGGTGAAGCAAGCTAAGAAGATCAAGTGCAACGCCATCGAACTGACCGAGACGAGAAGGCGTAGCTCACTGTACACCGTTCTCGAGAATGGAAAAGAAATATCACATGGAAAATGCGACAGCATAAGCATTGGCGGTGTAGATGCCCCCGTCAACATGCAGCTGACCATGAACATCGATTCGTACGAAAGCTTGACAACCCAAAAAGTACCGTTACGCTCGGGAAGAGGTGGATCAGCCATGCCACCTCCGCGCCAAAATCAAGTTAAGGAGAAGAGGAACTGGAAACGTTTATATAGACCTGAAAAGACTCTTTAGAGCCACACTTCCTCCAAAGTCATCGCCTGTGATTTCAACGTCAAAATTAACCCCCAGAGGATCGGCTGAAGAGCTAGTTTCCGGGACCCATGGAATGGAATGAGCGGGGTGAAAGACTGCCCGAGTTTATTATGTCGACCTACACCATCTATGGTGATTCGCAGTTCCAGAAGCCCTCTCACTTACGATGGACGTGGGAGTTACTGGGTAGATTCAACGAAAGTTTTGCCTGACTGACGTCGCTGCCGTTCCGAAGATCTACATGGGATCGATCATCGATTCCTCCGCGCTAGGTTCTGTTTTTCAGTGCGTGGGTAGAGAGAAGCAAAGTTAAAGTAACGAAGCCTGAGACCGTCATCAGTAGGATCACTTCGCTTTCTTGCATGGGAAGATTCCGTTATCGGCAACATCGAGAAGAATATCAACGGCTCTTTGAACATGTTCACGATAAGGCTAAGAAAGCGGAGAGTCTGCAAACTGCCAACAGTCATCTCTTTTTGAAGATTTTCGAGCTGATGCTCCAGCGTAGAGCTGTGCGGGCTACAAGCAATCATCAACAAAGGTGGTCGAAGCCGCGGAGACCGAGAAGAGCATTCACAAGAAACGCTGGGCTCTACCAACTACGAGGCCGAGATGACTTCCCTTCGTCGTTTTAGTGGTCATTTACCCTATTTCGAAAGGCACCGAAAGAGGTCATCCACGACTTCTACTCGGGTCTATATGACAACCACGTCCACATATGCAGGATGCATGTGCCGTTCCTTCTTCCGGATTCCCAAATTCCCCCAAAGAATTGTACGAGCGGCTCATCCATACAAAACTAACGGAACATGTTCCGACTTCACAGAAACAGATTGCTCTCATAATTGACAAGTAATGTAAACTACCGGATAAAGTGTAGACTCTGCTATCTGTCTTCCCCAATTGGTAAAAACTCTCATCTTCTACCCCGACCAATGCTCTAAGCGACGCGTTGGGAACTCTCATCCTAGAAAACAAACGTGAGGTTCAACAATAGGACACCTTCTATACTAACTTCGCTCAGCGCAGTTGTGCTGGCTACATCACCGTGATAAAGCACTCTAGCGCAAACTGCAAAAATGGCATAACGGCGGAGAATGGGCTGCTGATGAATATGAAGAAGGCAAAGTTCCGTCACTAAAAAGATTCGCAGAGTCAATCGTGCACCGGCTTGGGAAAGGCATCGAAAGAGCTCAAAACTTCAATACGCGAGTGGTGATCGAACCATCGAAAGTAGCGAAAACCAGGCCAAAAATGTATGGATGGACGATGCATGAAATCAACCGCGAAAGGCATTTCGGCTGAAATCAGAACGTTGAGAGAAGCATGCAGTAGACTTCACCGGAACATAAGATATGAAGTTTCGAGAGATCATGCAAACAGCCCTTTTCAGCTGGAAACGATAGCAGTGATGGCAGTGGAGCGGGTAGGTCTGCGAGACAAAAATTAGTCGAAAAAGATGGTTTTTCGAGTCCCTGGTAAAGAACCTCCCTGGTCTGCTTAGGAGGAGGTGGCGATCGTGACCAAGAAGGACCTCGTCGGAAGCGAACTCACGAGGTTAACTAGATGAAGAAAATTGGCAGCAACCAACAAGAACAGTAGACTCTCAGTGGCGTAAAACCAAAGCTAAGAAGGAGGAGAAACAGAAGAAGGCTCTGTGTCTAACCCACAAAGGCAAATATGAAAAGTTGACAGCCCTTTCTATTCGCCCATAGGCAGAAATTCATACTACCTTTGCAAGAAGTTCACAAAACCATGTGACAAATTTTGGCTATAATTGAAAGAAGGCAAATAATTCCTCATGGCCAAATCGAGCACTTGCAGAAAGAAGAAAGCATAAATAACTGGCATGCGGAGCGTAGCAGTAAATCAGATATGACTGAGAATAACTGTGAAGTGCGAAATTTTAGAATAGACTGGCCAAAGAATTGGACCAAATTCTAAGAAAAAAAATTCAGAACTATTTCACAAAGAAAACGAGTTGTGAGCAAAACTTCGGTCTTGAACGGAACTCGAACTCGACGGTTAACATGGACACTGGGTCAAATTTAAAACTATGTTAAGCATACCATTTTACTGCTAATCGAGCAGACCTTGAGAAGGAGAATGAAAGATGGACAAAGCCATGACAAAGAAATCCTTCTCAAACAAAAACGGAACAAAAGAGCTGATTATAATAAAGGTAGATTGGACTGGTAAAGCTTCAACTAGTTACAGAGTTGAGCAAAAAGCTCGGCTGCTTCAAAATTGCGTCTAATGAACGCCAAAAATATCGAGAACTATTGAGGTTTAGGCCGAATTCGGCGGCAGTACCCGAACCCATGACCAGAATAATATTAGGAAACCAGTATAACATCATGTTCATGATTTAGCCATCACGAACACTATTCACGAACAGTTGAAGAAGAAAGAAACATACAGAAACAACAATCCTAGTTTGAAAGTAAGATGAAAACGAATGCTTGGGAATAGATATAAAACGAATAAGCAATATGGTAGTGAACCAAACAATTTAAACGAATAAATGTCAATAACTCTTCCTCTACCTCTTAACTTGGCCTGTTACGCCCCATTCTTAGCTTCTTAGCCACCAAAATAGACTCAGATAGTATCTCAGGTCTTACTATTTGAAATTTACTAACAAAATAATGAGTAGCAGGCCAAAAAAGTGGTGAAAATATGAAATAATGGCCGAGGATTTCAAATATAAAATGGTGAGCGCACAACGAGTTTGTGAGAGGTCGTCCGAACGTAGCTCCGCCCAGAAGGCGGATCAGGGGCTTGGGAGATCCTATGCACATCCTGGAATGCTCATAAGCCCTGAACTCGCTTGTTGTGAAGGTTGTTCCACTGAAGTGTTACTAATCGCCTACTTCTTCATATGGCCATGCCCAGTGAATGTAGCTTCGGATTCGAAGTTGTTTGGGAATACGAATAAGCACGTCACCCTTGCAAGGACTGAACCTTGTGTGGGGAAGGCCACACTTTTAACCAACAGCTTAGGTCTAGGTGACATTTGTTAAGCTTGCTAAACTTCATTTCTCCATTTGTGGTGGTGAACGAAAGGCTTCCCTCAATGAAGGGCCTTGGTGAACCACAAAACGGTCAATCGAGGCCTACACCAGAGATGCTGCACGCGAACAATGTGGACGAGTTTGTACTGGAAGATTTCCCTGATCAGGCAAAAATACTTCGGGCGCACATACGCGATGGAGCGCGATTGTCACCGAAGTGCTTCGTTGACTACGTGACCTATGGTGAGTTCAAATAATTTGTTCTTAAGTTTATATAAAAGGCATGGTGATAGGAAATTATTCAGAGGTATCCACTTTACAACAGATGACCATTTTTTCAAGTGGACTGTAAATTTCTTCACTGAACAGTTGTGTCAGGTGTTTAGATTGTCCACGCTTGCAAATGCCACGTAAGAGTTCTGGTTTGAAGCGGTATTTTGCCGTTTAGTAGAGCCCTCGTACATTACTTTGCTTGGGAATGTAGGGAGAAATGAGGAACCGGAAAATTCGAAATTTATAGGGTTATTTTTTTACTGTTTTTTTTTGAAATGTTTACTTTGGTTTCTAATTAATCGATCATCTGAGCACACCTGAGCAAGTCTGAATTTAATATGATTGTAAACACTCAACTCTAAATGTGACTTTGCTAGAAGTTTTGAAACAGTGTCTCTCAGAGCTGAAACAAGCAATGTTTCCTTCGAGTTATTCTTCTATTGAGAAAACGTTTCGTCTGGCGTTTGGTGTTTTTGAAAGATCACATTCACTTCGGGCTCTTCCAAACGCTACCACCGATTATTTCAATATCTGGAGGCATGAGTTGGGGAGGTCGAAAATAAGCATCCTCACTTTGGGAAGTAGTTCAGCAAATTCGACTCTGCTGGACTTTTAAATGCTCTTAGGACTTGCAAAGGTTATTTCGTAGTTCAGCACTGTTGGCATGAAATCAAACCTTATGGTTTCGTAGCATGCTTTTTATGTGTTTGTGTGGAACATCGACCTGTTTGTTCGCCTTTATTGGATTATCGTGAATGTTATCCTAAAAATACTTTGATAGACTTCTTAACTTAACTTGAATTCACTGATATCAGATGCATAACGGAATCGCTGGTATAATTCATAGGAGAACGACCATCTTCACAATATATTACTTTCTTCATTCATGGAATATTGCAGAGGACGTGAATAGTATGGGTGGCGTGATTAGTTCGGATACTCACATTGCTGAGAATGCGCCGCTACAGCGGTTCACTGGCACTGAGCCGATCACTGATATTGATCCTTTTTGGAACAACTTATTGTCGTTCAATCTGAAGATCGATGATTATGATACGTATGTTTGAATCTTTGTTATTTGAAGTTTATTGCTTTGCTTTGTTGCTCTCTTTCACTAAATAGACCCCCACTATGAGAAACGATTCTGAACAGGGTGAGTATACCCTACTCTACGTAAAGATCAAATGAAATCAGTAAATTGTGAGCAGTCCTCATAGTTTTCCAACCTTAGGCGCCTCTGAGGTTGGAATTTTCCCCTATTGAAAGTTTCTCTGTAAACGAGCCGGTGTGCGATATACAGTTCTTGTTATAATGCCGACTCGCAGAAGTGCACGAACGTTTGGGAGACCTATTCGGATGGATTGGCTTTTTTCCTGGCTAAATTGAATGGGGTTTTTCAATCAATTAAGGTGGTGTCACCTGCTTCATATGAAAACAATTCATGTGATTCATTGGTTTCCACTTTCAAAACTTACTTTTAATATTGTTGAGTGCGTGAATGGATTGGATAGACATCCTAAAAATCATTCAAACTCATTTAATTTTGGCTGTGTTGATATCGACAATGTTTAGATCCGAATATCAGGATGTTTTCAGGGCGCAGGCGAAAGCATTTGACGAATCACTCAACGATTTTCTCCAGGCATTGATGTATAATACACAGACGAGCGGGAATTTCGCAGCTTTTATAAGAGTGTTCATACGACGATCGACTGAATTGAAAACTTCGGAACAATATGAAAAGTTGGTTTTCAACTTATAGTTAAAATTCGACGTTTCTTACAGTGCATGTTCTCTTGTTATTAGTTTTATTTTACTGTGTTTGAATTTGTACAAGAATGACTAGTCAGGCTTTTGGGCCCTATTAACCCGTTACCTCCAGCTGTTCATTTTCCTCCTGACGCACCTTAGTTCAATTGGGTAATGGTGCCACAAGCTGCCGCATGAGCTTAGCAGTGACCTCCTCAATGATTTCGGATTTGTGTACTTCTTTCGGATCTTTTCTTGGCCTTGATTTCACGACGCTTTGCCTTTCCCATATCTGTTAAATAATTTTGCATTTGATCGTACGTGTCTTCTCAGGCTTTCTTCTTGAACAACTTCAGTTCCGGATTGTCCAACTCTTCACTTAGGCTGCACTTATTCGTTTGACCATTCTGAGTTTTCAGAGTTTCCCCAAATACTCCCGATTTGTGCGTCTGGTAAACATACTGCATATGTTGCCTATAACTGGTGGAATTTTGTAAAGAAGAACTGTCAATTCGTCTATGTAGAAATCGCATTGGGACAGTTAGTATGTAGGTCTAGTCTGACCTATCAGTTTATCTGTAATTCATGCTCGAGATTAGTCCAGTTCCGGTTAAAGAACGCGTTTGGGATAGGCCGTGCTCTAACCCTGGTAGGCGAATAGAGCGAGAAACTTCTTCACTTCCATCAGGTTTACGTAGTTTTTGATGGAAATAATCTCAAGTGGAGGTAAATTTCTCAAAGCTGTTAGCGTTCCTTGTCATAATCTTCCATGGCTAAATCTTCTCAGTTGCATAGTCCTTTCACGAGCAACTTCTCCTGCTTCTAAACTGCTGTTAGACAAAACTGCGATTATAATTTCTTTTTTGCTGCATTCTAAAGCTTCGTGCTAGAAAATACCCTTTTAATGTTGAAGAAAACTTCTGATTTTATGTGGCACTAACTTTTGTCTATTTCAGTAAAATTTATCTGTGGCAAACCTCTAATGCTTTGATTATTCTGCGGTACATTTGCAAATTTCTCACTCAGCGAATGACGGAAGCCGAGTTCGTCAAAGTTTTTGCCACTTCGGCGTCTGCTGCATCGTCTTCAGAAGGTTCCTCTGATGAAGAGGGTGAGTTCTTTGCTTCTTTCGTTTTCCATTCCCTTGTAAGCGTTGAACTTTTAGGAGAAGCAGAAAACGACACCGATTCTGATTCACTGTATTCTAATACGGCAGAAAAACTTGTCGATATTCTAATTAATATTCTTGCCGATTTACCTGTTAGGTGAGCCGACGTTCATTTACCTTTCGCCTTTTTNTTTTTATGGAATATTTTTCGAAATTTTCGCCATGTAGGAATCTCCCATTTTACTCGTTTTTCGACTAAAAAGTGGATTCCGTACAAGAGCCCAGTTAAAATACAGTTTACTGAGCTTCATCACCCAGCGTTTGCAAAATAGCGCAACGGTGTCTTTAGTTTATATTCCAACCTTGCAAGTAGCTATTTCATATCTGATACCACTTTTTCGCGAGAATGAGGCACCTTTCAACAAAAGCTGCGGTCCCTATTATCCCTTTCACCAACCCCCTGTTTTGTTGGTGACTTTCCTGATCGGAATCCGATTTCCTATCTGAATCTCGTTGTTTTCATATCCATTGCATTGATATAGATATCTTGTATGCCCTGTAACATCATTGTTCAGTGAAAATACCATGGCGATTCATATAGAAGCCGTAAAGTGCCTCATAACAATGCTCAGTTCTCAATTATACAATGATGCAGTTGCTAATACTTCAGTGATCTTTTCGTACTTCATCAACGGTGCATGGTGGGTCACTTGGCACTTCGTAGAACGTACAATGGTAATAGTATTTGTTGTTCAGCAGTAAACAAGCTGCAGTTCTGACGAAAACCCTTCTGCGAAACTATTTGACCCATAATAGTGAATACCACCCACTCAAGAAAAACGAAGGCGGTAGCATTGTGCTTGGATTAGCTTGTGAGTGACTTTCGTTTGCTACTTTTTCAATAATTTTTCAAATCTGGAATCTCGGCAATCGTAAATGGGAAAGGGCCTCCAGGATTCTATGTAATAATTGCTGTAATGTTCAGCTTCCATCTGGTCCGTAGTACAAGCCGTTAGTGGCGCGGAGGAAGAGCCAGATCCGGTACCGGAATATCCTCTAACCTTGGGCAATCTAAGCATATTGTTGCTTCTGAATCTTGCCTGCCATCATCCAGCAAAAGGATGTAACCCCTTCAAGGAAACCCTGGCGTTATTTCAGAATTCCCAGGGTGAGTTTTTTATTCTTCTGAGCTCATCCGAATGCGATGGTATGCTACTTTTCCAGAGGTTTCCAGTCTTGCTTCGGACAAAATCACTTTCAAACTTGATTACAACGCACTGTATGAGAGACTATGCGCTACTGCTTGTCAAGAGCCACCAATGCTGCTACTTTACTTATTGTTACATCGTAACTGTGGTTTTAGGAATTTCATCCTATCAAGGATTAATCTGGAGAATCTCGTAAGTTTCTCTTTAGTTCCTTCATTCATCATTGTTTCACTTCTATATTACGCTATTTCTTGCCAACGTGACTACGCATTCATGGTGTTTTGTTAAGCTCCTATCGTTACTGATCGCTCTTTCTCACTCCCGGTTGCTATTTCGCTATTGGATATACCAGAAATGGCTTCCATTTGAGCGATGATGAGCTTAGGGCTTTTCAAGAACTACCCAATACCAGATCATGTCTCTAGAAAAGTTACCAAGAATTTTTCCAGCAGCTTCAATTTTAGCATTTCATACCTACGTTGTTTGGGACCTTTAGTCGTGGTTGTGGATTACCGATGCAGATCCTATAAGCTTATTTTTATAGGTGTTTTTTTCTTATAGGTACTACCTGTGATAAAAATTCTGCACGAAGGTATCGCTTCATTAACCTCCAACTCGCATCATATGTATCTCGCTTTGATAGTCATGCTTATTCTCAGCGAAGACGACTTCTTCTGCAAGATTATCCACGAAACGGTACTTTATCTCTATATTTGTCCTATATCCCTCGTAGTTCCTATTATTATTTTAGACCATACGCGATGTCGATTGGCTTGAAATTGATCGGCCTGTGCGAGAGATATCTTTAGGCGGTATTTGTGTGATGGTGTTTGTGAGAACTATTCACAAGAATGCAATTCGTATGCGGGTAAGTTCTAGACCATTTGAAAGGATTTTCAATGCAAGCAGGGAGGTTGATTAAACTTTGACTATTTTAGGATCGCTATTTACACACGAATTGTTTGGCCGCCCTTGCTAATATGTCCGCCTATTTTAAATACCTTTCTCCAGTCGTGTGCCAAAAGATGATTGCTCTTTTGGAGGTATACCAAGAGTTTTTCAAAAATCGGTCGAAATACTTATTTACACTGTTTAGCTGCTCACCAAGCGTCATGTTAAAATGGTTGAGCATATGCGATCGAACTCCGGACAGGATTCTACTGATGGATCTTCACCCAGCTATGTAAGTGAGAAATGAGAAGTTTGGGCATGATTATAATAGCAAAATCTATTGATTTCAGCATGACGATGTTACTGCTTTAGAAGAAGGCATTCGTACGTTGTTAGAGATTATTAATAGTGCGCTTTGNCACCAAGCGTCATGTTAAAATGGTTGAGCATATGCGATCGAACTCCGGACAGGATTCTACTGATGGATCTTCACCCAGTTATGTAAGTGAGAAATGAGAAGTTTGGGCATGATTATAATAGCAACATCTATTGATTTCAGCATGACGATGTTACTGCTTTAGAAGAAGGTATTCGTACGTTGTTAGAGATTATTAATAGTGCGCTTTGCGGAAATCTACGTAACAATCCACACCTCATCTATACACTTTTATATCATCGGAACCTTTTTGATTCGTATCAACAGCATCCCATGTTCCAGGTATGATTTTAGTTCTTCACCGAAAACCTTTGAAACTTGTGTTTTTGAGGATCATTAGTTCAAAATCCTAATACGGAAGACCGCATGAAGATTTGCTAAAGTGAAAGTTTAAAGTTTTACTTCGTGCTTGGAACACACGAGACCTGTAAAAAAGGAAAGGATACCTTTCGCTTGTAGGAACACGCTTTGACAATATGAAGAAGAACCGCTTTTTGAGTTTAAGGGTGTTCCTATTGATGGAAAGTGAATTGGCGACGACTAGTCGCTGTTCCACAGGACTACGTAGACGCCTGGGAATCTTTTTTTGAGTTTTGTTTTCTCCCCACTGTCATTGTAAAATTGTAATCGTTTCTGATTTGTATGAACAGAGCCGCTGTAGCCGCTAATGAAGACAGCGTTAAGGATCTCCTCCCAAACATCACTATGGTCATCTCCCATTTCTCTTCGAAGGTGTTGAATGTTAGAGCTGGAGATGGAAACGCAATTATGGAAGTAATAGAGAAAGAAGCTCTTGTTTTACCAACCGATCGACTAGCCAAGTTCCCCGAACTTCGGTTTAGGTAACCTTTATGATTAGATGCATTGTATTTCATGTCGTTATTATATTCTGATGCGAATTGAAGCAATTCAGCTGATGAAACATAGATAATATGGCGAGAGCCTGTGCAACATTTTATTTGCACAGCATTTGTGCTTGATGTTTAGCTGCTATTAGGCGTTGCCCTCATGCGTTGATAGGGAAAAAGTGGTTTTTACGTGGAGGCGAGGATAACGTATGAACCAGTAAATGACTAGGTGGTTCGAAGAACCCCTCAAAAGTATGTATCGTTTAGGAAATCCTAAATCTGTAAATCTGTATACGTCTTCAAAACTGACAGATCTGGAAAGTGACCATGTAGAAAAACGTGCTTCTGCTGGGGTATTGGTGAAATTTCCGTCTTTTTTTTGAAGCCGGATTTTTCTATAGATAAGTGGCATGAAGCAACCTCTGGTCGCTTAGAACTGTCATAAGAATTCCGCTTAGAGTAGATCGACTTCCGATAATGCTGATCGTCATACTGATCACAAGGTCGAGTTTGGCACTGGGCTATCTCGAAACTGAATCTGTAAGCTGGTTCAAGTACTCTAATGAAGAGTCAAACAATGCAGGATGATTCAATTAGTGACTGGCCCTTTTGAAACTCTCTTGGCATCTGGATCTAATTTTCGGCTGCATCTACAAAAACCAAATGAGTCGGTGAAGTCGCATACTTCAGTCGGAGCCACGGCTGAGAAACGATGTGACTCGAATGACTTCTCCCATACCCCATAAGCTCGCTCTTTGTCGAAACACGCTTTAAAGCGTATAGTAATCGGAGTAAAGTCCGTCCGGAGCTTGTTGGCGGAGGGGGGGGGGGGGGGGGAGNAGGAGGGGAAGAGGAATTCCATGCCGCGTGAGTTTGAGTTCCTATTCTTTCTCAAAAAAGCCGACTAGCAGTTCTAGTCAACTGCGATTGTTCTCTGTCCCGAATGAAACTATAAAAAACAGAATTAATAAAATTTGCATTTAGATTGGAGTTGATTCCTTCCTGTTGAATGTCTGATTATTTCTGTTTTCCGGTTTTCCTTCAGATATGTGGAAGACGAGAACACCGTTGACTTCTTTGTCCCGTATGTATGGCGGTTGACAATTCAGCATTCTACCATTCCTTTCGAAAGCTCCAGGGTGAAGCTTTTCAATGCCCGTGTGATCAACGCTTCTAGTTGATGAAGTCCGACGAATTTGTGTTTTTCTAACATTCTGAATTCTCGTTTTCTTTGCAATATCTGTGATAAGTACATGTTTGAACTTCCATATAGATTTCTATGCATAATATTTATTGTTTTTCAATGATTAATGTTTTTTGCTCATAGATGCTAGTGGCGAAAATTTGCTGATATTTTGTTATGGGTATAGCTGCAAATATGTCTTGATGATGAAGTCTTATTTTTCTCTTCGTATTTGTGGTGTCGATCATCTTGACGAATCCCTACAAATTGATTAACTTTTGTGAGGAAAAGGTGCATTGACTCAAAATCCATCTGATTCTTAGCGTATATGAGGGGCCTTTTTAACGCCTCATGTACACTAATTTCAAAAACTTCTGTTAATGCAGACCTTAGAAAAACCCTATTAATTCTTTCAGCGTAAAAACGTAGAGTAGTGGTCTCCACGTACGGGCTTCCATAAACCTCTGCATGGATTTAGCTCGTTGTCTTGGATAGATCATGTCTTGAACACTTACGAGGCTTTGCATGGCTAAAATTTTATCTGCCAAGGTTTTGGCTATGTCGCCTTCTTCATAGCCCTCTTAACAAAAATTTTTGGATACCCTATCAAACGTCTTTACTGTCGTACTGTGATCCGATACTCTTCCACAATACGCTCGCCAAGTAAGCAAGGGTCACTCACTGTAGGTTCGTGGATCCTCGTATAGAATAGTGGTATAGGGTTGGGTGGGAAAAAGCGTAGGATTTCTGAATTACAGTACCTTCGGTCAGAAGAGTGCAGTCTTCCAAAGTGATTCAATCTTTCCTGGNGTACGGTATGACACCCAATTATACTCTCATTTAACAAGCACTTTTCTCGAGCGTTAGTGATCTCCTACTGGCATGTTTTGCTTTTGTGACACTCCTTTTCTTTTTGCCCTAAAATCTTGATTCGTTCCTATAAGTGAAATTCATCGAGGTGGACTGGCAACCCATCTACTTCCAAATTTTTTTTTCAGTATGATCTGTACTTTCTTCACGTCGAAGGCTACACTGTAGACATCTCGTCTAGCCAGATTCTTTCGGGTTGTAAATTGCACTTGCAAAGTCCTTTAAGGTCAAAAACAGCCTAGGTAACTCTGTGCAGTTACCTTACCTTTAAGTCTGATACAAAAGGGGATTGTGCCTCACCTTGGGGTCACAAAGGTGTTTCGCGCTGGCGTTCGCTGCTATCCCATTCCATTTGTCTTTGAAGTTTTTTGTCCAGTCGTAGTGATGGGAGGCTATGGTTTCGAATCTTTCTGTAAAATACAAAATAGAGGGCCACCGAGTGCTCTTTTTAGATTAAATAAAGGAGGACAAGCGACAGACCCTGGTCAAGGCAAAAAGTGTTCGCCCCATATCCTGTCCACTCATGCACGCCCACTCGAAAGATAGCTGAGGTCGTCGATGACGATAGGTAGATGGGTGGGTTTGCTTAGCTACTGTTGGTCTGGTACGACACTCTTTTAGGAGGAAAATCAGCTTTTAGACGGAAGCTTTGTTCCTAATTCTGTTGATTAAGTTCTCACGTCACTTTACATCGTAGGAGCCTGCATCTAAAGTTCTATCCTCCAGAGGGGCAATCTCCTATAGTCTTACTATGAACCAGTTTGGTCAAATAACCTTGAAAATATTTTATTTTACAGGGTTGGCGAGTTTTGGACAAAACTTCGGCCTCGGACGGGACTCAAACCATCCGTACTTGTGTTGTATGGGCACCGTGCTTTATTTGTGTTAATGTTGCTGTTGTTATTGTTTTTCTGTTGTATTTGTGCTAATCTTTACGCTGAAATATTAAGTATTACAGCAAATGATTACTGGTTACGGGGATGGAAAAAAAGGTACTATCGCGGTCGCCGTTGATGCACCGACCTTCGTTACTAACGATCTTTTAATTGTTTCCGAACCAACGTTGAACTAGGTCACCGCGCTAATAGAGTCAGGATCCCTTTTTTTCAATTGCCAAACGATGAACAAACCATTCACGACGACATGCCAAGGTCGCAGCCCGTAGTCTTCTTGAACAAACTCGGAGATCACGATGGTGCCTCTTGTCTCATACAGCACACTTTGCTTCCTTATGGACGACTCTGCAGTTCAAGCAGCGTACATTCCGCACCTTTGCAGGAACTCCTGCTCTTACTGAAGTCACCCCATTCTCTTACCTGGAGCATGTTCTGCCGTTGCCTTGGTTTCGGTCTACATCTGCCTCAGCCTCACCGCTATGGTTTTTTCACAATCAGGTGGAATCCATTGCTTGTCGACTCTTTCAATCGTTGTTGCTCTCTAATCTGCTTTTGTTTCTGTTTCCTGCCATCGGAATTATGTCATCAGCGCAGAAAACGCTCTTCGGAAGCTTATCCATAAGTTCTTTTGCCGAGGTTTTTGCTGAACTTCACACGGCATGTCTCCGTCATTTGTCTTAGAGCACTACCGTTGTGTATCCATCGTAGCAGTCTTTGACAGTGATTTTATGAAGCCCTTCACTCTTCGGTCTCCAGAGCAGTTTGTGTTGATGACTGGACGCGCTTAAAGGGCCTAGTTATCTGTCAGAGGATCGTGTACCAAAGGATTGTATCTTTGGTTGTTTATCATGGGGTAGTGGCAAGGAAGAAACGTTCGTTCATCTGCATATAGGACGACTGTTTCATTCATGGGTTCTCTAGATGATCCGATGCTGAAGTTAGTGTTTCATGGTTCCAGGCAAGTCTGTTACTTGTTTGCTGACTATTCAGTCCTAAAAGATTCAATAGGTTCCCGAGAAAGTGGTCTTCGAACTGCGTTCGCTGTGAAGGTCTACTGTTCATTGTGAAACGAGGTCAATTTGATCGTGGTTGAACAAACGCTTGAAGGCTACAAATTGGGCATGCCAATCGTATGAGTGGGATATTGTCCGTCAACGGATAGTATCAAAAAGGATTGCATTATGGACGTAGGGTATAAATGTCTCATATCGTGATTGCATCTTTCAGAAATGATAAGACAGGTTGGCGAAAATGCGAAATTGCGGACAGGTAGCTGTTTCGCTCTCTGTGGGAGACTTTGAAGCCACGCCAGCAATCTCACAGACTGCTCAACAAGTTTTGATGCAACGACCTCTGCTACAACAACCTTTTTATTGTTTTCCGACCTAGCGTCAAAGTAGGTTACCGGGCTAGTAGTGTCAGGACCTCTTTCTTACAAATGTCAAACTATAAGCGAAGTTAACATGCCATGGTCGCAGCTTGCTATATTCTAGTGCTGACTCGGAGACCACGATGGTAACTCTTGACCCATACATCAAGTTTTACTTCTTTGAGGGTCTATGCGATTCGAGCAACATGCATTCTTCACCGTTTCAGAACTTCCTGCTCTTACTAGGAAACATCACCTCACCAACCCAGAGCATCTTCTACCGTTGCCTTGTTTGTTTGTGCTTCTGTTAGTTGCTTTGTTTCTGTTTCTCCCATTACGTTGTTGTCGTAGCGTAGAAAATGCTCTCTGCTCTGGCAGAAATTCATCGGTAAGTGCTTCTGCCAAAGTTTAGCGTCCGAGCTCTTCGCTAAACTTCATGCGGTACGTCGCCGTCATTTACCAAGATGAACAGCTCGCCCACAACCGCCGTATACCTATCCTCCCACTTTTCCAGCAGAGATTTCCTGAAACCCTTCAGTCTTTGTCCTCCAAGTTAGGTCGTACTGTGACCCCTCAAAAGGAGTGATAGGCTGTCAGGGTTGCAACAGGAATGATTGGAACTGGGGTCGTTTGTAGATAGATATGGTATGGATGAAAGATTTGCTTATTGCTTATTGAACGATTCTGTTTCATTCAATCACAAATATCCAATGTTGAGGTTAGGTTCCATGGTTCTACACAAGTCTGTTACTAGTTTACTGACTAAACAGACATTATAGATTCGGTAGGCAAGAGACAAAGTGGTCTTCGAACTGCGTTTATTGTGAGGGTCTGCTACTCATTCCGAAACGAGGTCAATTTGTTCGTGGTTGTACAAACAGTCGACTGACCANACCATTTGATGCACCGTATATCAGGGGGTAGTATATCGTAACATAAATCAACGGGCTAATTGGTTTTGTAGAAATGTCGGCGCCCAGGTGTGGAGATTCCATAATGGTGAAATGAAGACGTAACCACATGGAACAAAGTTGTCGGATGGTTGTTCCTGTCAGAAGAGGAAAGACAGAATGGCAGAAATGTGAAATTGCGGACAGGTGACTGTTTTGCTCAGTGGGAGACTTCGAAGCCACGGCAACAGTCACCGAGGCTGCTCAACAAGTTCTGATGCCCCGACCTCTATAAGAACGACCTTTTTATTGTTTTCCGTCCCAGCGACCTAGGCATTTTACAGCGCGTCGAAGTTCTCAGCTCGACCTTTCCCTTCAGTTGTTCTCATTGCTCTCACCGGCTTGATTTTGCTTTCTTCACAGGAGACTGGCGGGGATATTTCCATTATTAGGAGTCTACACACCCTCGGTTTTTCGTAAGGGCAAATGCAATGAATTCCTTTTAGTTTGTGTCTTGATCAATCCTGATCAACGACTCCATGAGATCTTTCTATCCTCTTTTCTACATCTTCATTCATTTTCCTTTTCTATGAAGTCTTTTAGTCATGTAAATGACGATGAAACTAAAATAAAGGTGAATTGTCTGTCTTTGACTGAACGTTTCCCGGATACGCCATGTATTTATCCCACATTCTCGTTTGCCTAGTTTCTGTTTGCATGGCTCGTGACTCACACTCAGTAATTGTGCTGATTAGGACTGTTCTTCGGGGCATTTCTACCTTACTTGTTAAGAGTTACTCGGGTATTCTTACAGAAATGGATTGCTTCTTCAACTGGAGTTCGCTGTTGCACTCGATTCCAATGGACGACTGTCGCCATAAGGCAAGTATTTCTTTAGGTTCTGATTGTTTGCTGAATTCGACTTCTCCACAACCCAAAAGACCAAACGTGATCAAAAAATGTTTATCTTCAC